GATCCTCCCGCCTCGGCCTCCCAGAGTGCTAGGATGACAGGCGTGAGCCACCGCGCCCGGCCTGGAGGGGGTTCTGAGGCCGTCAGCCCCTCCCCCCGCAACCGTGAGGTCCTGTCCTCTCTTCACAGGAACAGTGCTTGGAGAAGCCGTCCTCCTCCATTTCCTCTTCATCCTGGTCCTGCCGAGCTCTGTCCCCACCGCGTCACGCAAACAGCTCTCATTCAGGGTCGCTGACGCCCCCCAGAGTGCTGACACTCATGCAGAATCTGTTCTCGTTCCCGGTTGTCTGGCTTGGCTTTGGCTCAGTCATTCCCTCCTTTCTGAGACACTTCACAGTTTGCTTCCAGGTCACCCGGAGCGACCACCGTGCACCAGTGCAGGGGCACTGCCCACGTCACCCCTGGGAAGACACCGCCTGGGTCCTACCACGTGTCACACGTAAGGGCCCCCACGCTGCCCCGGTTTCCTTCCACCTTCCTGGACGCGCCTGGTCGTATTTAAGGTTCCTCCTCTGTCCCTGACTTCTAAACGTTGGAACCCACCAGAATCCCTCCCCCAACACGGCCGATTTCATGCATGGCTTTGAAAGCACAAGCTCCCAAGGTCAATTCTTTGATTTCCTAATTGTCACTAATATACTGGTGTCAGATGTGGACACGGGGGGAGGCTGGGAGGAAGGGTTATGGGACCTCCCCGTACATTTCTTTGCAAACTCATCGAATCTATGTTGCTTTCAAGTAAAAAAATTAAAAAACAAACCAGAGGAATGATCACGAAAACACACAACCACCAAGAAACGTGCCGATGTCTCGCAAAATTATGTTTCGACCTGACCGTTCCCTGCCTGTCTGGCGTGCACTCAGGAATACCTAGCACACGCCGCAGCACTCGGCACTTCCCACCTCAGCCTTTCTCCTCTGCGGGCGTCTGGATCTCCGTGTCGCGTGGCACCCACACCTGCGCGTAGCCCCGCGTCATCCTCATTTCCCCGTTTTCCTCGTTCGCACATGCGACCTCTCCACAGACCCGTCCGTTCAACCTTTCCCGTTTCTGTATAACCTCTGCCCAGGCGCCCCATCCCCACCGCCGGGACCTGAGTCAGGATTTCCCAGTCTCAGCCCTGTTGACATTTTGAGCCAGATAATTCCCGGGGGTTTCCCGTGCGCGGTCGATGTAGAGCAGCGTTCCTGGGCTCTGCCTACTGGATGCCAGGAGCCCCCCTCCCAGCCCACTCGTGACAATTAAAAATACCTCCAGAGACGTGTTGTTTCCCCTGACCTCTGGGCATCCAACTGACCCTGGGTTGAGAATGACCGTCCAGGTCCAACCGCCATCGACTCTCGTGTGCACGACGGCGGGGACCTGGGGTCGTCCTGCGGTCTGTATACTGCCCCCTCTGCACAGCAGCAGGGAGAGCTTCAAAATACGAATGAGAGCAAGTCCCTCTCTGCTGAAACATTTACACGGCCGCTTATCGTGTTTGGAAGAAAATCCTAACCGCTTCCCTGCCTATGAGGCTTTGCAGGACCTAACCTGCCCCCACCGTCCTCACCAACCCGCCCTCCCCGCCCACCGTGTGCGGCATTCACTCCACTGAAGCCTACTTGTTTTTCAAATACCCGACATTTGCTCCCGAGTGGGGAACACGACACCTGAGCTCTCTCTTCTTAGAGTCCCTCTCCCTGGTGGGCTCAGAGGCCACCTCCTCAGAGACGCCTCCTGATCTTAAAATCCAAGCTCCTCCCCTCCACCAATACCACAGCCCACGCTTTCCTGAACTCC